TATGTTGCTACCTTCGCTTCCAGAAATGCTTTGAGTTTGTCAGCCAACACGAACGTTAGCCCCAGGACAAGTTACACTGTTACAATGGCAATGATAGCAAGATATCGATCCCAATGATGTGCGATCAGGCTCAAGTTTTTCCTTTATAAATTATTATCATCTCGATGTAACATGCAGGCAATTAGAAGTAAAGAAATTTAAAGAGGGAATAACATGTTTCTGATCTGTTTCGTCAATAACCTGTTAGTTCCTGCCGATTTAAGCATCGTCAACTTTGAGCTTGGCTCTTTCTATGAGTTGCTATGCGTCCCTATGGTTAACGGGTAGTCGTATCTTTCCTCGAAGGGTGGTGGGTTGAAAAACAAAAGGTGAAATTTACCTTACGACCATGATAATAACAAAGCCTCATTCATATCGTTAGCAGAAAGACGAAGGAAGCATTGAACAGTTTCTCTGGTTCCATTGCAACGTTTCATAGCGTTATTCAATTTCCCCTCGCAGATCCTGTAGAACGATTTAGTAATTACACTCAAACGTAACCTTAATGTTTGTTTATGATCAGTAACATCTGTAGATATTTGGCACTTTTTGTAACTGTTTTTGCTGTTAGGCGAAAGAATGTTACAGTAGAATTCTTTTAACTCGCACAAAATCCCAACAGGCAAAACAGTTTCGCTGATGTTTGAATAAAATTGGGAACAATTTACTTACCAGTTCGGGCCATAACCATTTCTGGATATCGGTTTCGAGCTTTGTGATTGGGTGAGATCAAAACCAAAACAAAGCAAATTTGGCCGAGAGGTGCTGGAAACAAGAAGAAGCTGATTTTTTTTTTTTTTTGTGGCGGCCATGTTGTAATGCGGTAGTAAGCTGAAAAAAATTCGCCAACAAGGACTGGACGTAAGATACCATTAAAAATATTCGTTTATTTCAAACATTCAACATGCATGTCCCCGACATTCTCGCATTCTGGAAGAGTAAAGCGGATTCTTTCTAGCACAAATTCTTTGTAAGGCTGTGGTCCTTCCACCAAGAGCGTCACAGGAATAAAAGCTCCTCCGCCAGCCTGTTTGTATCTGGAGAACTTCTGGGTAGAGCTTGGCCTCGATGTTACTGTCCGTTGATTTCCCTATTTTGGGTTACAAGAAAACCAATTAAATAAGGTTGAACCAAATAACGCGCACTGATAACAATTGGGACGAGTGAGGTGTGAGATCGTGGAATCGGGACAATTTCATTTCATTTTCACAACCAATTAAATAAGGTTGAACCAAATAACGCGCACTGATAACAATTGGGACGAGTGAGGTGTGAGATCGCGGAATCGGGACAATTTCATTTCTCTCCAGTAGAGGTCGAGGAAAGACAATATCTTGCTTCTCTCCGATTTTAAATAGACATTATCAATTTCAGTCCATCAAGCCTTTACGAAAAAGTAACAGTAAAGCAAGAAAACAGTAACTTACCCTTCAATTCCTGGTTATTTTGCCACATCGAAGCAAAGCATGCAGCTGTATGTTTAGAAAGTGCTGAACCGTGCCGATCTGCTGCCCTTTGACATCTCCTAAAGTGTATGTCTTTCTCTGCGATCTGCTGAAAATCTGGACTTCTCGTAGAGCCTCTGGAATGCGTTCCATTTCTCGTGGAAGAAGACAAGCCAGTGCATGCGAGTCATACGTGTTGTCGTCTTCACTTTGAATAACAAGCGGTGTTCCACGTGGAGCTTTGATCTTGAAATTATGATACCTGGAAAATAAACGCCAATAAATACATGAGTGGGATACACATGATCGAATTCAATGCAAGAGAATCATACAAGGTATTTTGCGCGCTATTGATCGATTTGCGGGAGAATCTAGGTCTCAGAACACTACAAATTCGGTCCTACAGCTTTTAGTCAGCAATAATATGTCCTTTACAATTACCCTTTGATTTGAACACCCTGTATAGAAAGTTTGTTTAGGTAATCACTGCAAAATGTGAAAGCACGAGCGGTGTTTCTAAACGAGTTTCACAATTACAGACAAGTCCCTTGTGGTTTTAGACGAAAATTTCACTCTCATCAGTTCGTGTAGTTAAACTCCAACCTTTGTTTCCGGAATGCTGTAATAGAGACACTTCGGCAAGGCTTTCCACCAATGTGATTTTTTTATTTTCATCTTCATGCCGCTCTTATCGCACATTTCCCGGATACGATACCTGAAGATGTGAGAGCTCAGTGAACGAATACCTCTTTGTTTTATGTTTGTCCGAAGGAGAACTTATTCGCTGGATAATCACATTTATGTGTTAGATCCGTGGTTTCCTGAAATTATTTTTTAGTGTGCATTCGCCTTAGCTGAATGAATCTCTCTGATGTCAAGATCGACATTGATTCGAAATTTCATCCAGAGCTCCGATTGAAAAGATTCTTTGTTTGTAGCACTGACCCAGGTCCGTGGCAGATTTGTGCCACAAAGACGACAAAGTGTCTCGAGATACTGAATGTGTTCATCCATGCTGTTGGCTTGATCTGAAATTCACAATGTAGGCTTATAAAGGTCCGATAAATAATTGTCCTTTTACTTTAAATTGGCCGGCCACAACGTATGGTTAAAATTTATGGTTTACACGATACTCCGATGGATCTGAACAAAGGAATCCGTCTGGTAGTTTGCACACTAACAGACTTTCAACATTTGTGCACTCGAGCAAAAACCTCGTGCACTCGATTGGAATTTTGACAAATTGGAAGCAAATTTATGCTAGTTTTTTAAAAAAACTTTTTAGGAATCAAAAAAAATGTTGCATACCTGAAAACCTCAACTAAATAGAGGTTATTCCTCGATCGAGCCCTTCGCAACATGGACCTCCACCCGACTTTTCATCTGAATTTTTCCTTCACGTCATCGCGATCACCATCAGTTCTTTGCTTGTTGTGTGTAATTGCTTGTCTTCTGTAATTTTGCAAGGTTTCATGGGATATGGGTAGGGAACCAAGTCACTAGGGCTCGAATAAAGTAATGAGTGAGTTTCCTCGATGTCCCACTACGACATCCATGTTGGTGACGTCATCAAGTATCCAGAAATGGTTATGGCCCGGACTGCCCACGAGACACCTTTCATTTCATCAACCGGTTTTTTATCGTATATGCACTTAGTGACGTATCTTAATATCTTCCCCATGTGTTACAGTAATACAATTACAGTGATGCTCTGCGATCAGTTTCGGGAAAACTGTTTTTTGTTCAATTACTTGAAGGGCCCACCTCGATTAATAGCTCATAGTGTAAGTAAGAAAAGATCAATAAGTACCCACTTTCGAATAAGCGACTACCCCATCAACCTACCCCACCCCTCCCCCCTCCCCCCCGAAAAAAAAAAAAGGAATATTTTAAAATTTTTATTTCGTTACAGGCATACAATCCCTAAATTCACTTTTTATAATTTAACCTTCACGTTTTGTTATTGTTTTGTGGAGAAATAAACTTATTACTTGCTGAAAATGGTTAAAGTTTGTTAAGCGCCCAGCTTCGAATAAGGTCCAAAAATTTTATAAGCACCCAGGACGCTTATCGTAATCAACTAAGTAAGGAAATAGAGATTTCTTTGGTGCTTTCATAAGCCCGAAAAACTTCTCCACTCAAGAGGAGATCATTGCGACCGTGCAAGGCACTCCGTTGTGAGAGGCGTAAACAAAATACTTACTGAATATTGCAAGTCAACAATTACGGGGCAAAGTTCATGTTTCGCTTGCGTGCTTGCACGTTGATTTATGGCGTGATAAGATGACTATTGTGGGTAATTATAGAATGCACATGTTATGAACGCTCGGAGCCAATTAGCGGGTGAACATAATTGTATCACTGCAGTTATCTGTAACAAAAAGGTGTGAAAGACAAACCGAAGCGTGATGTTGAACTCACTTTATGACCAAAATATCACGATTATTATTTCGCTGCCATATTTGGCACAGACTGCTTTCAAATCTGCCACGCTACAACGCGAGAGGTTCACGAATATTGCTTGACTCAAATGGATTCCTTTCGTCTTTTGTCGACATCTGTTCGATCAGCCGAGTCCGCACGCCTATATTCGGTTTTCACCAAAAAAACGATTTTTTACCTGGATACATGAATAGAGAGCTGGGTTATACAGGTTGGAAGGTTGGAATATTGCCATGTAATGAAATATATCAATACCCTCCTCAAGAACATTGTTGGTGATCGTAAGCTTTTTCGATCATTCGATAACTTTCTCATTTTCGGGCTGACGAGTGATGCCGTGGCAGTAGGCCCGAAAATCAACAACTTGTTAGGTTAAAAAAGAAGCTACCGAACACTCGAGAAATCCTAATATTGGACCAAATTTACTGTTGAGTTTATTGTTGCTCTCTCTTTTTTTCTTCTAACTGATTGAGTTTGTACAAGACGGCATACTAAAACATTGCCGCTGGTAATTTCGTTATCGTAGTAACGATCGGAAACGCCGATCGCTGGGAAGCCGAACGTGATTCGCCTGAACAAAATAGAACAAAACAAAATTGGCAAATAAATTATACAACAACAACAACAACAACAACAAAGAGTAATTACCTTTTTTTTACCTGGTTAGGTTTTGTTAATCTTTTCACTCTCAAGAGTCACTTGCAGGATATCTTTCCTCTTAAACATCATTATATTTTAAGTAGAAATGTGACACGACAAAGAAAAAAAAAAACCCACCTACGAAGTTTTCAGAATTCAATCAAACTTTCCAGTTCGTTAGGTAAAAAGGAGGAATAGAAATGAGATCGTGAGCATAAACAAGCAATAACAGGAGCATTCGACATGTGTTTATCCCGTGCTTCTTAATGCCGGAAAGCTATTGTTAATTTTGCCGTATTTGTAATGGTTTTGATCACATTTCCTGTGAACATGCTCTTCAAGTGATCTGAGATGTTCCACGGCAAGCGACCTAGGACTGGGCTCTACAATAGTGGGGTGCCGAGACTTGCCGAATGTCTTCGGAAGTCACCGAATGCTAATTCACGGGATTCTGCACTGTTGTTGGGAATTGGTAGACGAAGACTAGCTAATGTTGTGCTTGTTTTCAGACTCTTGAGCTACATGTTCATTTGGTTTGGTTACCAAGGAGGATTTTGAAGTGTTGAAATGGTTTGGCACTGCTACTTATGATTTCCGTTTGGTAAACTTTGAACTTCCATCCTTGTCCGCCATTTTGTTTAGTCGAATCGGCTAGAAGGACGTGCGCGTGTTTACAAGTGTTTTGGCACAGATATCGCCATTTTACAATCACGCTAGCTGAGGAATGGACATATTCCGCCATAAACACTGCTTTTGCAGTTCTGTGTACAACATGAATGGCGGTAAATTGTTATGAACAAGACCAATGAGCTATGAATGAATCTGTGGAAAACGGGTTAGTAGCTATATTTTGTGATAAACTATGATAGTTAGGGATGCTTTAACTGATCACCGATGACCTCCAACCTCTTCTTTCGACACAGCTGCCTTCTAAAGGGTCACAAGGAACGATTCGGTGTATTTTAGTTTTATATTCTGAATATAAAAGTTGTACTCACGAAGGTTTCTCATACTATCCACGGTTAAGGTCTGATCGATCGATCTTGTTCATATTTACCAGTTTCATATGGTACTTTCCTCCCTCAACCCTGACCTGTGGTATATCTACTCTAGGATCTTGTCTTTGTGGCGTTTTCATGGATGTTTTGCCCAATGTTCGGCCATAGGCCAACGTGCGTTTTAAGACTTCATCACTTAAAATTCAGTGCATTCATCGTCGCATGTGCGTTTACGTTCACAGCGATCTTCATGAGTCACCTAGCAGTAAATGGGAACGTCTTTTTGTTGTATTTTGTGAAATCTTTGTTCAAGTAAAATTTAATTCACAATATGATCGGTGAATTAAATCTTCTACCTCGACATTTTCATTTGCATCCAAAATCAGAATCTAGTAACCTCCCGGAGGAAATTCTGATGTAATAGTTATTGCCAATGTGGCTTTAGTAGCAAAATATCAGCACCAACATTCTCCTCAAAATAAGTACAGTTCAGTTTACTATACAAAACTGAAATTAAACTTGTGATCAGTTGGTCATGTTAAGTAAGCTACTGTAACTCCTTCCAGATTTAGAACTAAACAATTATTGGATGAGGTTCTGTTTTATATTAAGAATAACTGAAGGTCAGGGTTAGTTGTATTCTTGCACACCTCTGCGTGAAAGGTGGATAACGCTATCCAAGGGATAAATTGCCATTCAGGGAATAATTGATAGCAAAATGTACTGTGCTATCCAGATAACATGAACCTAAATGTAGATCATTCTTTCCTTGCAAAAACAGAATTCACTTATAGCTATTACTCATGTGGGGAGCTAATTTCCATAACTCACAAGCAGGTTAATAAAATGTCATTATGAAAATGAAGGTTTAATATATAATGGTAACAGGATGGAGTGGAGTCCAATTCAGTCTGCAATCATACAAGTGATTGAAAAAATTGGATGACTGCAAAGCGGGAGTCCGATTTGGTTATCACAAGTATGATTACATACAGAATTGGGCAACAAGAAGTCCTGTCAACAATTAATGAAAACTAGACAAAATTTTAGAAAGAAACTAGACATCAGTGAAACATTTTTATAAGAATAAAACAATAGTTAACTCAGCAAAATGCAAGACAATAGAGCATGCACATGATGCGTTCTGTCCACTCATGCAGGTATGACATGTTAACTGTCCTATTACACTGTCCAATTACGACCATGATGTGTACACTGTCCTATTAGAGCGTAAATCGGGATGGTGATAACCAATCACATTTGAAAATTTTGGTATAGTTTTGATTAAAACCATAATATCATCAAGTTTCAAAGAAACTGGTCCTTCTAGTACATGCACTACCAAATATACAGCTATTTCAATTTACGTTGTCGGATCAAAGCTTCAAGGGTACGGGACAAGACTGAAAGGCGGTATGGGTAGATTAGAATTAATTTTATGAGGCTTTGATCCGACAATATATATGTATAATGGGACAAAATAACAACTTTTACCTGATAAATTTGAATATTTTCATTATCAGTTTGCTTGATAATGTATGGATAATATAGGTACAAGTTACATGTTAATAACCTTTTCACTACCAGAAGTGATTAACATGTAACTTCTCCCTAAAATATCTATACATACTGGAGCAAGCAGGTAATGAGAATACTCAGATGTAGACAGGTAGAGGTTACCTTGATCTATCACCAAATTCTCATAACTAATTTACAAGGGAATGTGTTGAAGCTAGAAGGAAGAATTAATAATCAGATCTTGGGAGTTAAAGGGTTAATCAATTCTGGGATTTAATAGGTCATGGTCACTATCTTAAGTATATATTAATATCATGGTATTGGAGGCTAATTTGGAGAATTTAAACAATTTTTGGTGTAAAATATTTCTTGACAGATTTGTTGCAATGACTTGAATTTTTCACATGATATATGATTCTATTTATAATTTGAGAAAAACACTTTCATTTTGCTCAGTGCCATGGAATTTGTGGAATGTCATGGAATTAAGGAGTGTGTCCAAAAGGCCATTTTAGAGAAAAACTTCTCTAAATCTGAGCCAATTTAATGTTACTGAAAATGGTATGGCATATGCACAAAGATAACAGTAATAAAGATTTGCAGTGCCGTCTGCCAAATAATATTTTATTTTGACAATTTTATCCTCAAAAGATAAAAAAAAATAAGATTGAGATCCAATACCTTCTCATTTGGTAATTGTTTTGGGGACTGTGGCAGACTGCATTGTAAATTTACCTCATCTTATATAGTTTTGGTTTGCCAAGTTTCAGATCAAAAGAATTAATCTTTCCCATGATAGTGCTGTTGTATTGGCATGGCACGATATAGCTGCACTTATTAATTTGCAAAAAGCAGTAATATCTTTGGCAGAATTTGTTAGAGAACCCTTCCGGCAGATACCATCTCATGTAAGCAAGTTATACATGGCTGCAGCAGTAAAATGCAAAATAGCGCATTATATATGGTCATAATGGCCACATTTGTCTGGCTATTTTTCCTGCAAAAACCAACCAGAACATGAGACTATAAAGATCTGAACCATCTGTAGCAGCAACTCCTATCCTGCGATGTTGAGACAACCTTAGTGCCCATGCTGTGCATTAGCAGGAGAAGGAAGAGCAAAAGGAAAGTAGAGGTTGTAGTGAATGTTCTACACTTTCTCTTACCTCAAGTATTGACATCACTTGGTTTGGAAGTGAAAAGGAGGAAAGTGGGACATCAGACACCACAGAAATAGGATGTGGAGTGGGCCTCTGAAAGTCACAACTTTCAACCTATTAAAGGCTGTCTGACTAAATAGAATACATAGTTATTTGCTCGCTTATGGTTATGTTGCGTCCCAAATATTAGAGATGTTATTAAAAATGCGAACAAAAACGCTTACAAAAACATATTTTTGTTTTCATTGCTTGGAAAATAAAAGTTGTCAGCTATCATAGTAAAAGTAGAAAAAAGTGCTTCATATTTCATAATTGAATAGTTACTTATGAAATGGATGTGTCAGAAAAGTTATATAAAGGAAGTATCATGAATTGCACACACCATTAGACCAGGATGGTATCTATATTTTGCTGCGAGATTCATCCTTCACATTGAAACTCTATCACATGTATCCAATCATCAAATTTTGCAAATAGGCTTTTTAAACAATAGTCTTAAAAATGTGAGAAAGGAAAGGCATTCTGAAAAGGTTGAGTTAGCCTCCAGTTTCTTGATTAGTACATCATACTAATCAAAACTGTAAAATGCCAGCCTGACTTAAGCATATGACAGTCTATGGATCATGCCTGTAATTGGACAGTGTAATAGGACAGTTTTATGCTACATACCTGTGAAACTGGACATTATGTGCCTCTCTGCATGTCGTTGTTGTCCTTTTTGCTGAGTTAGCATTTTTTTTTTCAAAACAAACAATCAAAGGTTAGTTAATTTCTTAAAATGTTGCCTCAGCTTTGGTAATCAGACTTTGAGTTGTCCAATTCTGTCTGTACTTATACTCTTAACCCTCTAACTCCCAGATCAAATTTGTCATTCTCCTTACTGTCAACCATACAATTCCTATAATGTTAGTCCAGAGAATTTAGTATTGGATCAACTAATTATCCCCAAATTGATATGTTTCTTTATTCTCATCTCTTATCTGGTTGATATTATGTTGATATTGTCAGGAGAAATTCTGTCTTGATCACTTGTGGGAGTTAAAAGGTTGATGAACAAATCAGACTCCTGCCTCATGGTTGTCTGATTTTATTTATCACACATGAAAACAGACCAGTCCTGTCCTATTACCATTACTTATTAACATCATTGCTGTAATCATGGTCATGATCATTATCAATAGTGTACATTGATATTATTAAACTAACCTAATGGTTATCCTTGTTTCTTGATAACAGGGAGGATGGAGGTGAAGGGCTGCTTGATGTAGGGGATAGTCATGACCATGGAAGCAATTCGAAAAAATACAAGTAAGATGTTGTCCTAATCTTGCTTTTTCAATGCAGAGGGGATTTTTAAAAGCATTGAATGCATTTATGTCTGAATTTCTCATTGTTACTTGGTTACAAAGGCTTGTGAAAGAGCGGAAATGAACTTAGAGAACTATACAAGGCTGTAATGGCTAAAGGTGTTTATGCTCTGGTTTTTTAATCTCTTTGGAATGTCTCAAGATGTTGCAGACTTGTAAGGCTTGAGTTCAAGAGTGAAGGGTTTAAGTCTACAGAAAGAATTTTTAGTCACCATTCAGTGCATGTTTGGTGTCATTGTTGTGAATGAATTGAGTCTCTCAAGGTGTTATGTATCATGCTTCTGTGACTGCTTTCCTAGTGTCAATATGTTTGGAACATTAAGATAGTAAATTGTTGTCATTTGCCAATTTGTGCCAAAATTATTGCTCTAAACAGTTAAGAATATATGAAAGTCATATATTTGACTAAATACTGATGAAATATTGATAATACTTTAAATTATTGCTCTCTACACAAGATCTGACACATAAAAAAACATTGGGTATACAACTGTATGATGAACTAATCATGGTAACTAACACCAATTGTCTTGTAAGATGGTCTTAACTTAGTTTGTATTTATTGTTAATTCCCTTGCGATGGGCATCAGTGATCATATTTATCAAGGGAAACTTGTGATCCTTATAAACTGTAATAAGCCACCAGTAGGAAGGACTCATTGATGTGAAATGTGCACTTTTACATGTATTTGCAAATGTGTTCTGCACAATGACTGAAGTCTTGGCTGACAAACTGGGAGGTCAAACATCAAGTAACATGTTTTTGTTTGTTATTTTTATAACTATTTGGCTTGTTTGTCTGTGTAATGATGTACATCTTGTTATTCACAGGCCCTCACGAAACTTGAGTGAGAAGAAGAGACGTGACAAGCTTAATATTTACATAAGTGAATTAGCAGCCATGGTTCCATCTTGTGCAAGTTCACAGCGCAAGCTTGATAAAACCACTGTGCTCAAAATGACAGTTGCCTACATGAAAGTTCATAATGGTAAGATTAGTATTTAATGAGTTAATGAACACATTTTATTACCAAATATGCACTAGGTAACTTTGTTTATTCTGGGTTCCAATACAAAATAAAAATCCTTAATCACCTTTTGGTGATCAAGTGGCTGGTAGCCACTTGTAAATTTTCAGTTGCTAATTTAAAATTTGCAGCTGTATACACCTGTAGTTACCACAACTTTGGTCTGGCAATGAGATCAGTTGCTGACTATGTGTCTCCTTGCTTGCAATATATTTTTTTCTAGCATTACGTCTCACTGATAGTGCATCTAAATTGGAAGAATGATGTAATATTTATTAGGTTTCATGATACAGGCCACAGATTTGTTTGGGTCTGTATAATTTTTGTTCAACTTCTTGTTGAACTGGAGCATTTATGTGATCACTTTCTTGTGTATTTTTGCAGATTTAACAATGTCTGTCCTTGGAAATGAATCTGGATTAATGTCCTCTTTTCTATCTAGTGAAGAAATTGGTGAACTATTAGACAAAGTGAGTCACCATATTATGTTTGCTTGCATTGTATTTTAAATGATTGTTCTATGGTTATTCCCAAAGTTGGTTGTACATCTGCAATATCTATAGTTGTTGTGCCTCAGTTGAAGCATGTCTGACTGCAGTTGTAACACTAACATGTTCAATAATTTCCCAGGCTCTGAATGGCTTCTTACTGGTGTTATCTACCAATGGGAACTTTGTTTATGTGTCTAAAAGCATTGAAGATCTTAGTGGCCTCAAGAAGGTGAGTTGATGCATGCATGTATTGATTGACAACATTAGCACAGTATGACAGTGTAAATTCATAAAGCCTTTACACCCTAACATCAGTATGCATACTCTCTATACCCCTCTCTATACATTTATTTTGGAACTGACAGGGGGAATAAACAACAATATAAGCTCATTAGGTTGGCGACATTTTCTTTAGTCTCATGATCTTAATGAGTGATTCAGCAGTATTACTGAAAGAAAATTATACACTGGTTTAGTTGTTTTCTCTCATATTTATCATTGCCTTTAATTGTGAGTTCCAATCTTTGTTGTTGTTGTTCTTTTTAGGAAGAACTGATCGGCAAGAGTATATTTGAGATTGTTCATCCAGATGATAAAGAAGCAATGGTCAGAGAAATTCATCGTCAAGACATAAAACATTCTACAGGATTCAATTCTCATTCTGATCAGCTGGAGCTAACAGGTACATGTGCATGTACATGCAGTGTTTACTTTAGCTGTGTGAAATCTTTTCATTCTCCCTAATATTTTGCTTTTGCACTTAATTTAAACTTATTATCTTTAAAATCATTTTTATTGTTGTTGTTGTTCTCAGCATCAGTTTTCATATGATTCTACATTTTGCATTTGTGATGAATTGTTTTTTTTTCTGAAGGAAATGCCACCTCACTCCAGAGTATGGTGGAAAGCAAGCCATCTCGTCGCACCTTTAACTTCCGCATGTTAGTGAGAGGAAAAGATGGTGAGCCCAGTGGCAATGAAGATGTTTTCTGTGTTGGCTACATTGACCAGTGGACGAAGAAAGAAGCTGAGCATCAGAAGCAACGTAAGATATTTTAACGTACAAAGTTGGCAGTACTGTGGCAACATGCATACCACTTGGCCTCTTGGGATTTGTGTCTCTGTCGAAGTGTTCTCCCCAAAGCCCCATACTCCCCTCCCTACTCTTACACTCAAATTAACCATGTGTCACTATGTCTTACTGTGATATCTGACTTTGATTTTTCTGCAACATCTGTAGATTGATAGATAGCTTTATTTATTCACGGTAAAATCCTTCGGCACAATCTAAGAGTACAAAATATCTAATTCTGTCTAGCTAAACTAACTAATAATTAGTAGAATATTTTAAGAATAAAAATCTATAATATCATTAAAGGTGATTTTCTAGGATGCTGTGTCTCATTCAAAAGCTGTAATGAAACACTTTATCTAAGTTCATGGGAGAGGCTGTTCCATAACATAACACTCCTTGAGAAAAAGTTTCTCTCCAAATAGTTGGTGTAGGGTTTTGGAACAGCCAATTTATTTTTCGGAATTACTCAGTTGTTGTGAAGTAATATCATTTTGGGATATAAATCGAGATTGTTGACATTCAGAGGTCAATCCATAAAGTTTTGTGTTTGGCTGCTTTAGGGATACTGGCAACCAGTGATAATTCACTATCTAATGCCCTCACTCCTATTGGCGGAACAGTCAACCCATTTTTTCTGGTGGGTGTCGGCATTATGTCCAGTCCCAGTTTCACGCGTGTTGTGGAGTGCGAATGTGATGACAGTAATTTTACATCTCGGCACAGTCTTGATGGAAAGTTCCTTTTTGTTGATCCACGGTAAGGATGTAGGCTTGGTAGATATAGTAGGCTAACTAGATGTAGTGGGCCAGCTAGATGTACAGAGTAAGCTAGATGTAGAGGGCCAGCTAGATGTACAGTAGTAGGTTAGCTAGATGTAGAAGGCTAGCTGGATGTAGTAGGCTAGCTAGATAACGTGGGTTAGCTAGATGTAGTAGGTTAGCTAGATGTAGTAGGCTAGCTAGATGTAGTAGGTTAGCTAGATGTAGTAGGTTAGCTAGATGTAGTAGGCTAGCTAGATGTAGTAGGCTAGCTAGATGTAGCAGGTTAGCTAGATGTAGAAGGCTAGCTAGATTTAGTAGGCTAGCTGAATAAAGTGGGTTAGTTAGATGTAGTAGGTTAGCTAGATGTGGTAGGTTAGCTATATGTGGTAGGTTAGCTAGATGCAGTAGGCTGGCTAGATGTAGTAGGCTAGCAATATGTAGTAGGCTAGCTAAATAAAGTGGGTTAGCTAGATGTAGACTAGCTAGATGTAGTAGGCTAGCTAGATGTAGTAGAGTAGCTAGATGTAGTAGGTTTTCTAGATGTAGTAGGCTAGTGAGATGTAGTAGGTTAGCTAGATGTTGTAGGTTAGCTAGATGTAGTAGGCTAGCTAGATAAAGTGGGTTAGCTAGATGTAGTAGGCTAGCTAGATGTAGTGGGCTAGCTAGATGTAGTAGGTTAGCTAGATGTAGTAGGCTAGCTAGATAAAGTGGGTTAGCTAGATATAGTAGGTTAGCTACATGTAGTAAGTTAGCTAGATGAAGTAGGTAAGCTAGATGTAGTAGGTTAGCTAGATGTAGTAGTAGCAGGTTAGCTAGATGTATTAGGCTAGCTAGATGTAGTAGGTTAGCTAGATGTATAAGGCTAGCTAGATGTAGTAGGTTAGCTAGATGTAGTAGGCCAGCTAGATGTAGTAGGTCAGCTAGATGTAGTAGGTCAGCTAGATGTAGTAGGTCAGCTAGATGTAGTAGGTCAGCTAGATGTAGTAGGTCAGCTAGATGTAGTAGGCTAGCTAGATGTAGTAGGCTAGCTAGATGTAGTAGGCTAGCTAGATGTAGTAGGCTAGCTAGATGTAGTAGGCTAGCTAGAAGTAGTAGGCTAGCTAGATGTAGTAGGCTAGCTAGATAAAGTAGGTAGTAGGTTAGCTAGATGTAGAAGGCTAACTAGATGTAGTAGGTTAGCTAGATGTAGTAGCCTAGCTAGATGTAGTAGGTTAGCTAGATGTAGTAGGCTAGCTAGATGTAGTAGGCTAGCTAGATGTAGTAGGCTAGCTAGATGTAGTGGGCTAGCTAGATGTAGAGGGCTAGCTAGATGAAGTAGGTTAGCTAGATGTAGTAGACCAGCTAGATGTAGTAGGCTAGCTAGATGTAGTAGGTTAGCTAGATGTAGTAGGTTAGCTAGATGTAGTAGGTTAGCTAGATGTAGTAGCCTAGCTAGATGTAGTAGGTTAGCTAGATGTAGTAGGCTAGCTAGATGTAGTAGGCTAGCTAGATGAAGTAGGTTAGCTAGATGTAGTAGGCCAGCTAGATGTAGTAGGCCAGCTAGATGTAGTAGGACAGCCAGATGGAGTAGGACAGCCAGATGTAGTAGGCTAGCTAGATGTAGTAGGCCAGCTAGATGTAGTAGGCCAGCTAGGTTTAGTAGGCCAGCTAGATGTAGTAGGCTAGCTAGATGTAGTAGGCTAGCTAAATAAAGTGGGTTAGCTAGATGTAGACTAGCTAGATGTAGTAGGCTAGCTAGATGTAGTAGAGTAGCTAGATGTAGTAGGTTTTCTAGATGTAGTAGGCTAGTGAGATGTAGTAGGTTAGCTAGATGTTGTAGGTTAGCTAGATGTAGTAGGCTAGCTAGATAAAGTGGGTTAGCTAGATGTAGTAGGCTAGCTAGATGTAGTGGGCTAGCTAGATGTAGTAGGTTAGCTAGATGTAGTAGGCTAGCTAGATAAAGTGGGTTAGCTAGATGTAGTAGGTTAGCTACATGTAGTAAGTTAGCTAGATGAAGTAGGTAAGCTAGATGTAGTAGGTTAGCTAGATGTAGTAGTAGCAGGTTAGCTAGATGTATTAGGCTAGCTAGATGTAGTAGGTTAGCTAGATGTATTAGGCTAGCTAGATGTAGTAGGTTAGCTAGATGTAGTAGGCCAGCTAGATGTAGTAGGTCAGCTAGATGTAGTAGGTCAGCTAGATGTAGTAGGTCAGCTAGATGTAGTAGGTCAGCTAGATGTAGTAGGCTAGCTAGATGTAGTAGGCTAGCTAGATGTAGTAGGCTAGCTAGATGTAGTAGGCTAGCTAGATGTAGTAGGCTAGCTAGATGTAGTAGGCTAGCTAGATGTAGTAGGCTAGCTAGATGTAGTAGGCTAGCTAGATGTAGTAGGCTAGCTAGAAGTAGTAGGCTAGCTAGATGTAGTAGGCTAGCTAGATAAAGTAGGTAGTAGGTTAGCTAGATGTAGTAGGCTAGCTAGATGTAGTAGGTTAGCTAGATGTAGTAGCCTAGCTAGATGTAGTAGGTTAGCTAGATGTAGTAGGCTAGCTAGATGTAGTAGGCTAGCTAGATGTAGTAGGCTAGCTAGATGTAGTGGGCTAGCTAGATGTAGAAGGCTAGCTAGATGAAGTAGGTTAGCTAGATGTAGTAGGCCAGCTAGATGTAGTAGGCTAGCTAGATGTAGTAGGTTAGCTAGATGTAGTAGGTTAGCTAGATGTAGTAGGTTAGCTAGATGTAGTAGCCTAGCTAGATGTAGTAGGTTAGCTAGATGTAGTAGGCTAGCTAGATGTAGTAGGCTAGCTAGATGTAGTAGGTTAGCTAGATGTAGTAGGCTAGCTAGATGTAGTAGGCTAGCTAGATGAAGTAGGTTAGCTAGATGTAGTAGGCCAGCTAGATGTAGTAGGCCAGCTAGATGTAGTAGGACAGCCAGATGGAGTAGGACAGCCAGATGTAGTAGGCTAGCTAGATGTAGTAGGCCAGCTAGATGTAGTAGGCCAGCTAGGTTTAGTAGGCCAGCTAGATGTAGTAGGCTAGCTAGATGTAGTAGGCTAGCTAGATGTAGTTGGCTAGCTTTATGTAGTAAGCTAGCTAGATGTAGTAGGGTAGCTGTATGTAGTAAGTTAGCTAGCTCTAGTGGTCTAGGGGTATGTAGTAAGCTAGGTAGATGTAGCAAGCTAGCTAAATGTAGTAAGCTAGCTTGATGTATTGGGCTAGCTAGATGTAGTAGGCTAGCTGTATGTAGTAAGCTTACTAGATGTACTTTTATTAGGAGTAGAACTGTGTAAGTTATACATGTAAATGACGTGGAATTTGATGAGAGGGTTTTATTGTTTTATTTAGTTATATTTACTGTCTGTATTAAAGTAAAACGATCGTAACAGCTTTATAGTGTAGTCCTGGTCGTTTTCAGTTAGAAGTGCAATTGCAGTGTATTTGCGAGGCTACTTTTGTACAGTTTTTTTGTCAATTTAAGAGTATTGTATACTATTCCAAATACAACTAATCCAACAGATATCCCTTCGGTTAGATATTTGAGAGAGAGTAAACAGTTCCTTTATTTTCTTTTGTGGTTCTGTTTAAGGTCAATCTCCATCACAGGTTACATGCCATTTGAGGTCCTTGGTACATCAGTTTATGACTATATTCACGAAGATGATTTGACAGTTTACGCTAAAGCGCACGAAGCACGTAAGTGAAATAAAGTTTAATAAAGTAATTTGGTATTAGGAACTGAGTTAATAACGTAAAATGGTCGCCGTTAAGATCTTCAAAGGTGACGTTTCGGCATTCGCTCTGACGAAATGCTAACGCTCGAAACGTCAGCTTTGGAACTCTTTACGGTGGCCAATTTACGTTATCAACTAAGTTGAAAAAACAAAATTATCTTGTTATAGTCTCCCACCGACGCAGCATCACAGTTTCTTTAGAAACTTACCCCCTTTACTCATTTGAAATAAAGTTTGTCTGTTAACTCTCTTTATTGTCTGCCATACAATTCTGATAATGCTACATGTAGTTCGGAGAATTTGATATATTTAAATTTGGTAATAATACCCTAATTGATATTTTTCTTTATTCTCATCACTTGTCTGCTTGATATTGTATTGATTTTGTAAGGAGAAATTCTGTCATGGTCACTTCTGGAGTGACAAGGGTTAAAAGCTCTAAGCTCACTTTTTAAATTGCTTTGTTGTCGTTTTAGTTATGGAATACGGTGAGGGAAAAACTGGCTTTTACCGCATTTTGAGCAAAGGGTACCAGTGGATATGGGCGGCAACAAGGAGTTACATTTCCTTTAATCACTGGAATTCCAAGCCTGAAATATACTGCAGTAATACGAAAGTAATAAGGTGGGTTAAAAAAAATAATAACTTGTTTTGATCATGAAATTAGCTCATCAGCAGAAAGTCAGGTTAGCTTTCAAAGGGGAAGGAATTTTCACCTAGGTTAGCTGATTCTTGAAAAATCGTGCGCAACAGAGCAGAGGGTACGAGGTAAGAGGGCAAAAGACCACTCCTCTGCCTAGACGGGAACGCCTTAGTCGAGTAACCCGTGCTTGGTGCTAACTGCGAGAGGCATACAAAAGGTAAGTTTCTTACAGAAGCATGCAACTGTAACATGTTCCAATCTCTCAGTCAGTGTAGACAAGCGGAAGATGGACTAGTAGCAATTGCATTGTCAGGGCTCTTGGTGTAGAAGACACAGTCTACGTCACACTATTGTTTTCATCGTTTTCTTATTCCCAGTTGTGACGAAATTCTATTGTGGCGGTACACAGTTGGTACTGCCTCTGGTACTGCCTCTGCACAGACCGTAGAAAATTTAACATTTGGCGGTACTTTGTGAACGATATGATTTCGTTCAAAACTGCAAAGTATTTACGGAAAAACGATGTTTATTTGCAGTGCTGCGGAGGGTGAAAAGTCACTAAGAGTCAGAGAAAAGGAAATGGAAATTTTGAAAGCTAGTCAGGAAAGTCACCAGTCGCGATTCTCTCAATATAAAGCTCCCTTGAAGTGTAACAGCCCTCATGAAGCCAATGCATTGGTTCTGGCCAAGTGGGCAGCGGATGAGTTGAACTCAACGTCCCTGCCGTTAGAACAAACTGATAGCGGCGAAAACCCTGGCGGGGACCAGAATGCTCTGGGAACGAACAAGCAAGGTATGTGTTTGAATTTTGGCTTTCTTCACACACGAAACCTGAAAGTTAATGGAGAAGATTATAACTGCTGTTGACATCCAGGGAGATGGGATCTTACGCGAGAGATTTCGTGTCACCTTCCAGATCTTGAGTCTCTCCTGTCAAACTGGCTGGCATGCTGTTACGTTGTGTGACGTGTTGTCATGTCGTGTGTTATGCTGTCGAGTTCTGTGGCAAACTATCAAGTTCTGTAACATACTGTGCGTCCAAAGTTAATAGAAGTTAATTGTTTTATAAACCCGAAAATTTGTTTCATTTTTTAATAATACCTTTTTTTCCGACTAGAACGTGCGCATCATTCCAATCATTCTGAACTTGGCTGACCAGTGAAATCTTCCATTAATTTATTCGGTCATAATGCGCACACGCGAAAATAGAAGATTGTGTACCGCCAAGAGCTCCTAACGACCTGTTAACATCAGTATGCATATTCAACTCTACTCTACATAAAATGATGTTTCAAATATGTACAGGAGCAGGACACGTGACATGGATTGGTTGACCACTCGCATAAATGATTGTGAACATATGAAAATCATGTGAACTGCGAATCTAGAAAAGACTATGAAAGCGATGTGCGTAGTAATGAACACTATTGGAGCAATAGTGGAAATAAGGCCTGAAAAAAAAAAAAAAAAAAAAAGATGAAAATCAGGCCTATGCGGGATTTGAACCCATGACCTTTGCGATATTGGTGTAGTGCTCTAACCACTGGGCTATCAAGCCTACTGGGAACTGGTTATCATGTTGGTTCCAAATAAACCTGCGAAGTGATGAATAAATATTTGTGAATATATGAAAATCATATATGTGAACTGCGGATTAAGAAATAAATAGGAGAGAGATCTTCGCAGTAATGAACCCTACTTAAGAAGTTAGGAAACTAAGGCCTAAATTTGTACAGGCCTGATTTTTCTTCAGGTCTTATTTCCACAACTGCGTAAGTAGTGTTATAAATGGGAAGATCACTTTCATATTCAGTCCTCGTATAATTTATAATGTTATTCTTTTATTTTACTTTCTTCTCCTGTGTTCAGATGTGGCTCTGTTTGGCCGTGCGGACGACAGGAGGTCTGGGGCTGAATCACAAGCTGGTGATAGCGAAACCGACACGAGGGATATGGACCAAGACTCGTTTGTACGTTTTCATTCTTTTTTTCTCTTTGTTTGGTTTTTATTGGGGTGTGTTTGTTTTTGTAATGCATCATGCGTGAACTTATTGAATAAAGGGGTAAGTTTCGAAAGAAACTGTAGTGTAGCGTGGGTGGGATAGTATGACAAGATCATCTTTTTTTAATCAACTCTGTTGATAAATAGGGAGTAGTACGTGGTTGCTTGTAGATATGGAATTTCTCTTCGAGTGTTCAACTCCATAGCTCGCGAGCGAGGGCAGCGAACCAGAGAGATATCGAGTTATCGAGTTGTCGTGAGCTGTCGAGTTGAGCACTCGAAGATAAATCCCATATCTACAACAACCATGTTTTATGTTGTTTACGATATAAACACGATAGCCCTTTCCTGAAAAGAAAAGTCGACTTTATTAATGAATGAAGAATTAGATCTAAAGTCCAAGAGGAAAGTCGTAACGCGCGTCTGCAGTAAGGCTCAAGTTGAAAAAAATCGATCAACACAAAAACAAACAATAGGCGTAACTTCAATTTACAAAATTCTCAGTGATTGACTTTTTCCTTACCGACAGAAGAAATCTATCGGGTACACAACCAAAATCGGCCTGTGGCAACTCTTCCAGTTGTCGATTTTCGTTCTTAGCCGCGAGAAATGCTATTACTAAAGCCACCGAGTACGCAAATTTCGGTTTTCTTTTCGTATTTTTTCTTCTCGCGAAAACAGTGCAACCCGGCCTTAATTTGGACAATTACCTTAACCAAATGTTAGTGCTTATCGGGATGATTGGTACCCGGTGGTTCCTCTGATCTCTGTGCGGCTAGTTAACCTTTGGCATCGGGAATTTTTCCGATGCCTGGTATTGTACAAATGTAACCAAAGTGCTTTATGTACAGGATCTTCCCTCAACTGTTGATGAACTTGAGCGCTTCCGAGAGGCTCAGCGCCTTCTTCAAAATCAACTTCTGGAGAAGCACTCCTTGTTATTGAAAGCCGTGGCTCGACAGAAACAGCAGCTACAAGAAATCCAGCAGCACATGATACTTAACCTTCAGTCGCAGCTGTTTGTAGATCCAGTCAAACTACAAGAAACGTGCTCGGGTTACTTTGAGAGGAACAAGGACTTGTCCGAGAGGCATGAAGTGCAGGAGCAGGCTCTCGAATCCATCAGTCGGAAGCTTGAAGCACAGATGCAAACAGCTGAACGCAGATATCAGCGCCATTTTAAGTTGCTCATGGAGAAGAAAGCCGAGGAGCAACAGATGGCGGCCGAGCAAAGCATTCCCCAAAGTTCCGAAACTTTTATTGACACCGCTGTGTCATTAGGGGGACAACAGCAGGCTCAGCTTGAGAATGAAGATGTTGTTGTGGAGGACATCGATCCATTAAACTCAAGACAACGACGTGAATTGCAACGGGAGCAAACTTCATCTCCGCTTCAGTTGTTGCCAATAGACAATCAGATTGATCTGCAGCAGCAAGCACATATTGAAGATGTGCAAAGCAACGTAACAATGTTAAAGCGTAGAATGACCAGCCCCTCAAATCAGGGGAATCAAAAGGTCATGCGCGTAGACTCAAACGCGAAACAAATGTGGCCGCAATCGTTGCCATCAGGCGCGCGACCGGAGCTGCAACAACCACAAGCTATCGTGGCAGCGTCAAGACCTTGGCAGCCCAGCAGTGCTGGTCAAGCAGTGACAAATGAAGGGTTTGTCCAGGCAATTCCCGCAGTTAATAACCGTGGATCAGTTACGGTTACGACCAACGTCACTTCCGCTCCTTTGCCAGTGCCGCGACAGGTCGGTATACGACCAAACCAGTCCTCGCACGGCCAACAGAGTGTTCAGTCCCAGCCTTCTAGTTACACGCCCGGTGTTCCCGTGTCGGCCCAGGCCGTTTTGCAGCATTACTCTACGTCTCCACAATTGAATACTCCATCGCATATGAATGGAGGAATTGTGGCCATGTTAGGACAAAGCCCTGGAGCTTTCCAAGGGTCAGGTGACAAGACCGGTTTAGGATTTGCAGCGCCGCAAATTGCAACAGCTTCGGCTGATCCCCTTCAACAGCAGCAGTCGCAACAAAGCTCTCAAATGAACGCATCTATTGTTCAAACTGTGGAGCAACTATTAACGAACTCTACTCAAAACCAGCAGATAATGCAGGTGTTATTGACTGTGCTCTCGGCGCTTCAGAGTCAGCCGCAAGTTGCGGCGTCATTGATAACATTGTTGAAGCAGATCCAAGATGGTCAGCAACAAGGACAAGGTGAAGTTCCCTCTCCTGTCCAGCCAGCCCCACCTCAGTTCCCTGTTGGCTTGGGAACCCAGGGACAATCTACCTCACAGCTTTGCACTACTGCCCCACAACCTCTGTACTCCTATGGTAATGAGGTAACTTTCCAACAGCAGCAGCAGCAGCAACAGCAGCAGCCTACGCCACCTTCAATGCTGCCGAATCAGCAAAGAATTCCTCAGCAGCCGCCAAGATCGCGGCCGACCGTTCCGCTGCAACATCCTCGGCAGGACGCGACAGGTCTAGGTATGACCCGGGTGAGTTCCACAACCACAAGTTACAGCTTCGCTCTACAACAACAGCAGCAACAACAACAAAAGCAACAGCAAAAACAACAACAACAACAACAACAACAACAGCGTCAACAACAACAGCAAGAACAGCAGCGGCAGCAGCAACGGCAAATCGCTAGGAATTCGGCTATGACCAACCTAGGAGCATCCCAAATCTCGTCTTCAACGATCACGTCTACGATGAATTTTATGCCATATGAGAACATGGCCTCCACTTCAACTGGTGTGACGTCCGTGGCAGCAGTCCGAGATTTTGACCTGTTAGAAAAAAAGAAAACTTCAAAGTCCAAAGGAGATTATTTCTCGAACTTTTCGTCGGATGAATTGCGCGCGATGTTGATGGATGCTCCCGGAGCAATGTCCAACAATGAAAGCCCGACAAACTTGGCTGTTGATAAGCAGGAGAAGAAACTCGAGGACGAGGAACTACTTTATAATCCACTACTTACGCAACAGCAGCAGCTCTTACAGTTACACCAGGTTTGTTAGTTTGTCTCTTGATTTATTCTTTCCTTCGTTTTCTCTTTCTGTAGACAATTGGTAGAGATTGCAACACCAACGAAGTATTAGGTACTTTCTTTGTGCGCTCTCACAAATTTAACTACAGATAGGTTACGAGGATGATAAATCTTTTCCTGACCTACTGAAACACCAAATTCTCAGAATGAACAAGAAACAAAACGCACGATCCACGGTAAGGTCAGAAGTGATAGTGTAACTGACTCATCTTGGGTGACTTGTAGGAACAAAGGCGTCAACTTCTTCTCCAGCAACAAGAGCAACGATTACTGATGTTCGAGGAGCAGAAACGGAGAGAGGAAGCCGGCCAACAGCAAACAGCAACTTCGCCTGCAACGTCTAATTTCAGTTCGAGTGGGCTCCGCGCCATGCTATCTGATGATCCGCGGGAAGGAAGTTCGCGACAAATAGGCAAGTGTCTTTAACGCTGCACTTATTATCGCGTGGTAGGTGGAAGCTCGATATGCTTGCGCTCATTTTAAACAGGAGAATCTACACAAAGACCTCTCAGGGATTTAGGCAGGACTTTCTTGCAAGGGGGGTGGTGACTTGCGTAAGCCTCTTTGTAGCATTTGGGGGCATCCCAGATTGTTGTATTATGCTAATCACAGCTTAGTGCAGAGTAGCGTGACGCCAAGTCGCTCAACGTAACGTAATGGAAAGGCGAGAGTTAACGTAACGTATCACAATGTAACGTGACGTAAGCAAAATATGACGAAATCTAACATCACCTAACGTTACCTAATTTTACAAAGACAAACACAGCGTAACCTAAAATAACTCGAGCCATCGTAACCCAATCAAGAGTAACTTACCGCGACGTACCGTAACATAACGCTGTGTAATGTAGCGTAGCCGAACGCAATATAACGTAACGTGGCCTGACATAACCTAACGTAACTTTATGTAGCGTAACGCAACATATCATAGCTTAACTTTATCATACGTAACCTATCGTACAACCTATCTTTGAAACGTTTCATAATAATTTCTCGGTGTGTTGTTAATCGCAGGTGACCAGAATGTTCAGGATGGTGGACCATCATTTTCAGGATGGTCTGAAACAAATTATAGTTTGGGCGAAGCTGATGAACAAGTTCTGGGCTTATTACTGGCCGAGTCAGCTTTCGATCCCCTGTTAGACAATATAGACTGGGGAGATGACTCTTACACAGGAGAAATTAACTTAAATCCTGATTAGAACTTGCTCTAAGTCTATCAAGGATGACTGGAAGGTGAACGCTGTGAATTATGGGCTGTGTCACCGAGCGAAGCAGAGGAGGAGACCGAGGGATTCTGCATTCATTCTGAGACGCAAAGTAAAAACGTTGTAGTTTTATCTTGAAGATGTTTTGATTTTACGTGCAAGTATTAGTAGTAGTAAAGTAGTAACGATGGGATTACTATTCAGAACAGCTGAAAGATAGGATGGAATGTTTATTTTGTTTAGTCCTTTATAGTTGGTCGCATGTGTCTAAAATCGGTGTATCGAAATAATGGAGGTTGGTGTGTTTGTGTGCCTAAGTTCTTCCTTCATTTTGGTCTACTTGGCCCATGTTAACGTTTCAAGTTTTGAAGCTGCCATGCTTTATTACTTCTCTATCCAAAATTCGTGTAGTAGTCAATTTTACGATTTCCATTTCTTCAACTAGAGCGAGAGACATCATCCGCGGAAAGAGATAGTTGTTGATCAAGGGAAAGGCTTGTTTAGACAGAAAAGAAAACCTATACAGAGGTAGTAACACTCGTTAAGGTTGTTGTTATGTCGGTTTTTTCACAAGAGTTCTTTCTAGGACTCCCCCCATGTGGGCGATAGCATTTTACAAAAGGGTTGAAACTGTCTTTGTACTGAACCGCGTGAGCTTGGATTGGAATGACTCCGAAGTAGATATATTTAGCGCGGAATTCTCGATCAAAATCAGTTAAGCCAATATGTCTTCAGAGCATTGCCTTTGTCTTCCTTTGCACTGGACAATTCGAATTTGTAAACAGCCACTTTAGGACAAAATGCCGTGGTCCTGATATCAAATATCGTTAATGTGTTATTTAATCCCTGTTCCTCATTGGCTGACAATTATCACGTGATTGGTTGTACTTGGAGGACGTTTGTTCACTTAAGTCGAGGTCAGTTAAACTGTCATTACTTTTTGCTGCACGTGATGAAGTATGATCAATGAGGAACTGGAAACAATTTCAAACTTCACAAACCGGAGATTTCGCCCGTGAAATACTTAGCCGACACCGTCATTTAGCTTTCGGGGCAGTCTCCTATACAGATGAACATACTTACAGTTAAATTGCTCTCTACGGGAGCTCCTCTCTCTGTTAATATGATCAACAATAATTCCCCCTCTGACGCTTCTCGTGCATTCTCAATATACCAAAATAGAAATTATGAAATGTAATTTTTTTAATCAGCTTGGGGTAACGCATGGATGAGCAAACTGTACCCCCAAAGTTAATAATTTGAATTGCTAGCTTGATACTGGCATCTTTAATTTTAAAAATAAAGGTTCTTGAAAGAGAGGAAGGCTGATAATTAATTTTGATACACATTACCTGCATTTCAAATTTTTAACGTATTTAAAATGGTTTGAAGATGGAGCAAGAAAGTAACAAATGGAATAAAGAAGGTTTTGTAAACCTGCTCATAACACAAGCGAAAGGCAGCGATGGAAATCTAAAAACTTGATCTTCATTCTCTTCACGAATTCGCGTGAGTGTCACCAAGGCCTGAACACAAATGGCCTTCGCGTATACCGGAAAAGGAATAAGCGGAAGTGGAACAGATAAGGGGAAGCATGTGACTGCCATGCCGATTAAGGATTCTCGTGTTTGCTTGAGACAACCCCCTTCCCCGAGAGAAACTTTGGGGGGGGGGGGAGCGTTGAGTGACAACCCAAAGAACGGCTGCGAAAGTGCTTGGTGGTTGGCCGGTTGCCTAGAGTTTGATCACATCTGGGAAGTTTAAATTTCCTGGAAAGGAACCAGGTCAATTTTTACAACGTTATTTTTGCATATCGGGCCATAATGTTAAGTGGCTCGATGTCGTTAATTTCTGGAAGCACGTACGTGTTGACTTACTAGTAGGGAACACAAATTTAAAACGTTTAGTCTTTCAAGGTTTTCTGTAGGACTAAAGTAGCTCCTCTAATGTTTCCCTTGCTGGATACACACTTCGTTAGAAAGCAATCAGAATTGTACGACTATCAAACGAGCTTTTTTTTCCTCTTGCAAGCACCTGATGCTGTTTAAATCAGTCTTGAAGGAAGATTGAATAGATTATGTGGAGCACGCCTTTGCCAGAGGCCCAAGAAAGCAGGGTGTGGTAGATTGAGGATGCAATTGACCCCCTCACACTTCTTCAGCATTAAGCCATTTTTCTAATAATATAACTCAACTTGGCATGCCCCCAAGCGTCCGCATGACTTTTGTTGAAAATCCTAGGCAGTCCTTGTTTGCTTTGCTTCCAACATTGGGTCAAAGTTCCAGTGCAAGCAGATTTGAGGAGAGATCGATCTCTCCTGTAACTTGTGGCATCCGCTGCCTAATAAAAAAGCAGTCAACTAAAAGTGGCCGCTAACTCTTGCCAATTGCAAGTTACGATCAAGCGCGATGATTATAGAAATAAAACTGCCTTCGAATATAGTGAATCTGCGCGAAAACCCGGCAGACGCGCACAATTTTTTTTTCCTTCGGAGTGGAGGGACACATGATCCATTCAATTTGTCCAAAATTGTATTTCAAAGCCTCCGTTGTAGAGAATCCCTCTCAAAAGTACGGGCTCTTTTTTTTTCGAAGGGGTAGATAAAAAATGGTCTTTTGTCGTGTCCAGACAAGGTGTGAATTTCTCGTGTCAAAATCTGAGCTTCTTAAAGACCATCGCAGGAATGGGAAACCACAATTACACGACTTGTGAAAAACCAAAATTCAACGATATTAGCTTTACAGTTTATATCATCAATCGGTATTTTTTCTTTGTATAAGTGAATCCATTTAAGTCTTTGTGGCTGAAGCCTTGCTTTACAAGATCAAGGAAACATTCGATTCTTCTCACGGATATTTTGTTACATGATAGGCCTGGTGCCCTCGGTGAAATAACACTATTGGAAGTCGAGAAAGAAAAACAAAAACATTGATAATTTATCTCATCATTGATTTATTGTTTGCTTATTTAGCCTACACTGACTTGATGTGAATCGGTAGACTCGTCCCCTAAGCTTTATCTTGGATCCTGCTCGGAGCCTGTCAATTAGCTCCGGTTAAGTTCTTAACTTGACCAAACAAGATTTGGATGAATTGTTCGGCGTGATGCGACAGACAATATTGTCTTCATATACAGCTGAACTTAGGGTCAAACCACGACGTAATTCCTGTTGTATCGTTGCCGGCTTTCTTTCCGTGGCCAACATCAAGATAGGTCTTTACAAATACATTCTAATCTAATCGCATCTCCCGCTCCTACGAACTACAATGTTTTTTCTCAATGCGGGTACTTACTTGCGAGAGTTATACACTTAATCACAGGCAAATGTACCTATGCTTCACGTGAAACGCTCTCATAAGAGAGCCATTACAAAAAACAAAAAACAAAAAAATAAATACCCCTCCGAGAGCAATCGATTTGGATCGGATATCACAGGCCGTTGTTGTTAATCAGCGATTGTTATATGAGCGCTGGATAGGTCATAAATAATGGTTAAGAGTTTTTGGTTTTTCAATTGTTTTCCGGTACACACACAAAAAAGCTTACCGATAAACCATCCGCCTGATTTTAAGGGCGCAGTCCATCGCCACGTACATATTTTTGCAAATAAATATATCATCACTGACACCGGTAGATATTTCGTAAACCATAAGCTTTCCTTCCTTGGTCAAAGTAAAATAAAATCCACAAGAGGAACATCTGATACATCATACATATTTTTTTCAATTTGATTTTTCTTGCGAGATGTCTGACCTGTCTATAGAACTGGAGCTGGTATCAAGTGAATGTTCACTTCTCCTTTTTTTTATTAAAGAACTTGAGACAAGGAGTGTCTACAGCCGTTTCATCGCTTTCTGTATCTCAGCATGGAGATCACGTTTAGAACCAGTGATCATCGAACCAGTGATCATTGAACCAGTGATCATTGAACCAGTGGAATATAGGTGCATTAGGCGCTAAATATTATTAAATTTTGGAGATTTATCCTTCTTTCCGTTTGATCGCAGAGTAGATTTTTTATGCGATCTTTTAAATCTGTACGAGGTAGGTTTTCAAAGTCTCAAACCGCTGTGTGCTTGGTATTGACCCTTAGAGTCAATCTTGTGTTGTCTTTTTGGATTAATAAGGCTCTTAAAAACAGGATTTATTTTCTATGAAGACCTTAGCAATTGTTTGTTTAGTTTCAACTGGTATATGTAACTTTTAAGCTCAGCTCCTCGGCTACCATGTATATCACATTTTTTAAAAAAACTTTGTTCTTTTTCATTTGTGGAATGTTAAATACTTCAAACTCTAATTGAATTAAGTTATATTTAGATATTACCGCTAATTTTTTTACCGACACATCTTGATATATATCTGCTGCAGTGTTAGAGGTTTCATTAATGAAACCTGCGGTTTTCTGCGTATGCAGTTTAATCGGTGAAATGGAACTATTTAACAACGGATCAAAGCTATTTATTACCGCTCGAAAACCGAGTTAAATCCGTACCTTTCAGGTATTTGTCATCTTTTCTTTATTCAAAGTTTCTATGGGATGTAAGCGTAATTTTGAATCCTTTTGATTTGGAGCACATCCAAGGAAGCAGAAAAATTAATGACGAAAACTAAATTATGTTAATTTATAATCCACACGTCTGTTGATAATCCTCACATGGTGCACATGCGTATTAAATATGACAACAAATTGTCGCGGGCAGTGCGGTCAATCATGAATAAGGAAAGGTGTACTTTATTTTGTTTCAGTGATGTGCTGATCTCTACAAGCGCAGGCCTGTACGCATCAGCTATTGTGTAAGTTCAAGTTTTTTACGAAACTTCCGCGCGAAACTGAAATACGGTGCGTCTATGAGGAGTGTCGCCCAAGTTGCGTTTATTTTCAAACGTTCGTGCGGTAATGGATGCAGTACAGCTGAACGAACTACTGGAGTGTTCTGTGTGTCTAGAGCAGCTGGATCAAAGCTGCAAAGTATTGCCTTGTCAACACACGGTACATAGACGATGTCTGAAAGACATTGCAGAGACAAGAAAAGAGTTGAGGTGCCCCGAGTGTAGGATTCTTGTCGCAGAAGATATTGACGAGTTGCCGGCAAATATTTTTGTGATTCGACTTTTAGAAGAATTTAACAAGACGCGACGGAAATCGTGCGATAGTTTGGATTCAAACGAGAAGCTTTCTGATCAGGTGAGGTGCTTTGGTATTCAAGAGGATGATGATATATTTGTGGTAGAATTGAGGTGCATGGAAGAAAGTGTGATGTAGAAACAATAATTAATAGTGCGTGATTTCATCTTCACCCTTCCTATTGTTGTAGAGTGTGGTTACATGCATGGCAATTAACCAGCTTGATTATGAAAGACTCCCTGTTGATCTGATGTAGGAGTTTCTGTGGTTCGCAAAATTACCTCAAACAGCTTTTACGTGGTGCGTTCTGTTCTGTTATTTTCTTTGCTACAAATGATTCTCGGACATTCTTCAAGGATGTTGTTTATGTCGCGCTACAACCTCCCTTCGTAGTATGATTTCTAAATTTAGTTCTTTTGAGAAATGATGGAAACAATATTTACATATTTTAACCACAAATGAATGAAATCTAAAACGTTTTACTAGTATATTTCCGCTGTATAGAACTTTTTCCCTCTTTTAATGCAATTTCCCTGTGCTACTTGAGCCCAATTATTTGTTACGTGCTTTAGATGTTTAGTTTGCCACTTTCAGTATTCAAGAATTACAGCTGTGTGATGTTGCATTGTTCGTTCGTCTGAGACGATAGTGATTTTTCATTTGAAGACATATGTAAAGTTGCTTTCAACGCTTGGACTAAGGAAATATTTTGTTTCGTTTGTCGATACCGAAACGGAAGCGAGGAACGGACTAGGAGCGGGCATATATCCTGTTTTCTTTCGCTCAATTCCTTCCGAAGAGACACAGCCTTTCAGCTCCTTGTTACTTAACAGGCTTAAGAAAGGCTTAAGCAAGGGAATAAACCGAATTACGCATATGTTGATATTTTGTTTTGGCTGGGAAACTACAGAATTAGTACACTTTCAGTGAGAATCTGAGAATCTGTGCAAAATGAGGAAAAATTATCGAAGCTCTGTTTTAAGGTGATCGTTGTGCTTGTATTGAAATGTTTTAATTCATAGCCTAAGGCCTTAATTTGTCGTCGACTTGGACGTGATGTGCATTGTCACGTTTCGTCAACTTTTCCTCATAATCAAACTTTCAAATGTGGTGCAATTTGATAAATGTTATCTCACGTGCTTTGGAAAATCTGTGACACGCTGTGATGCTTTTGTCATGTGACTTGTTACGCGCGTTTTGTTTCCAAGGGTAACTTCGCCCCAGCTATTCACGATGTTTCCTTTTTAGGCAACGTTTCTAAACAACAAAACACTCAATTAGCCAGAGCAGCTCTTGCTTGATTGATCATGCAAACTGTGGCAGTTTTCATTCACAACAAGTGCTGCAAACAATCGGCTATTGTATATTCTTTGTGTTCACTTTGCATCTTTTGAATGATTTGTTCTACCATTATCTTAAAATTGTTAGCCAAAGTACCTTATCATAATAAAACAACAGCTTGCTAACATGGACTTGAATTTCAAAGCTTCCTGTATTTATGATTTCACAAGATGATAATACTTATCTATCTTACTTTGATCTCCTGAATATGGCAATCACTACAAGCTTAGATTAGCTTACATCTGTTTCATGGGAGCCGATTGCAAAACTCCCAGCAATATCTCTTTTGCAACTCATGTTTACAATGGTGCCTCAGTTATTTGTTTCTAAATGTGTGTCTGAGAGATAAATGATATGTAATCAGAAATACTTTTAGTACATTAGTGCCTCCTGTGGTGTGAACTAAGGAAGCAAATACAATGACTTAAGATATTTACAAACCCATTAATATATCCGTTTCAGCCAAAGGGTAAATACTACCATGTCACTCAATCCACATGTTTTTAATGACTTTAATGTCTGTGTGGCAAATGAAAGATTTGAACTGGTTTTTTCATTTTCTAGTTCCAAAATTATGTGGAAGTAATACTTTCTAACAACACCTGTAACAACAATGATGAGCTACACTATAACGAGCAATGATTATGACACTGGACATTTTTAAAGGCAAAATATTGTCAATCATGCATCTAAGCAAGTGATGAATATGGTAGACTCTTGTTTACTAAAGGGATAGGTTCATGTAACAGATGTGTTCAGTGCTTCAAAATGGGAAAAAAGAATAACTGATTTCTAAAAATAGTTGTGCAAATTATTACTATGTTTTATCTCTTTATGCTGTGGCTGAGACCACAAAATTGTGGCGGAGATAATGGATCTTTGTGGGTTATTTGATACAAAGCACTCTGTTATGATGGGTGATCTTTTACCACACTGGTTGTCAATTACTAAGTTATTTTTGAAATGCATCTAAATGGGAAATCTTGCAGTTTGTTTTGAAAAGGCATTGTTTTAAGTTTTTTAAGTTGCCGATTTTTGTTTATTGTCAAATTCCTGTGTATGTTTCCAGAATGAAAGGTAAAATGAATTTTTCTTGCAGAGTTAATCAATAAACACTCTTTTCTTGAAGTGATCAAAGAACAGATATAGGGTGTCAATCATCACCAGATCACAATGACAGATATATGTTGCAGTTTTTCACATTTAAATGATATTTCTATGTGAATTCTGTGACTCAAGCCTAAAATTTAAAGGCCTGTTAATGATCACACCTTCCTAGTTGTCAACTATAATCATGGATTTTTGTTGTGGTAGCTTACATATAAATTTGAAGTTGTTTCTATGATAAAGAGAACAAAATTTCCTCTTTTAATCAATATTGTTTCTTTCCAGGGATCTTTTGTTTAGGTAGAAAATTCTGTGGTTAATATCTTTGCATCACTTTTCTTTTAAGTCTATGATTTGGCCATTGTTCTTTGTTTATTTTTTTATGGTATTTGTGCACCAAAAAGCCCAGACACATAAATAACCATTGTTGAGCTCATGAATTGAATGTGGTTGTCAGCAGGATGTCTTAGGTCAAACAATTCTTTTACATGCTAGACCTCCACTTGAAAGCTCACTTTACTAGTAGAGATTGGCAATAATAAAGCTGATAATGGCCTACAAGTGTGCCTTGCCATCATTGTCTTGGTGTGTCACTGCCTGAGCATCAAAGCACAAAATCCAAATTTCTGGGGCTTAATTTCTCGTGGAAGACTGATTTTTTTCCCCATGTTATTGACAAATTAAATAACATCTTCCATCTTCATATGAGCCACTCACCAATTATAGATTACAGTCTGTTCCATGCATTAAGTTATTAAAGTAAGGCATGTCAGCCAGAAGTGCAAGGAAAGCAGCTTGCTGAAATCAAAGTGACACTATGGTGAACTCATGGATATACTATATAGAATGTACTTGCTTATTTTGACGAGTCAAGTCTTTTAGTAATTGAATGCCCAAATAGGCCAGAAGGATTATTACTTTAAAGCTTACCACATGGGCTTGTCAGCACTTATTTATGACACACAATGATTTTTTAACCAATATACATTTATGTGTAAGTATTCTTTACTACAAATTATTTCACCTTATAGTTTCTTCATTCTTTTGTTGAAGGTTACTCCTTGTGCCAGAGCTTTATATGATTATGAACCTCAAGAAACTGGGTATGTCCGACAAAAAAATCAATGAATTTTTTACTTAACATTTACATGTATCCACAAGTCATTGGACAATAACATTTTCTTGTATCCTGTGTCACCTTTTATTTTAATTGCAGTGATCTAACTTTGCATAAAGGAGAGATAATAACACTACTAAAACAAGTTGATGAAAACTGGTATGAAGGTTTTACTAATGGCTGTCAGGGATTCCTTCCAGCAAATTATGTTGAGGTAATAATAAATAGATCCACTTTCAAACATGACAATTTTGCCAATTGCTTGTGTTTGCATCTCAAGTTATGCCACTTATTCAAAAGGGGAACGGGGTGGATATTTTTTGTGGAATGTTCCATTTACCTTATTCTATGTCAATGTCTCCCAGGTCATCAATCCATTACCAAGCCTGGATGATTCTTGTGACAAACCCATTGCCAAAGCGCTATTTGACTTTGAAGATGAACAAGAACAAGATTTACTCTCATTTAAACAGGTACTGGAAGGAACAGTTCATTTTCATTTCCTCCATGGCTGTGACTGATGAATTGAAACTCTCGATTCATTTAAAATAATGTTTGTTATTTTATTTTAGTTTCTCATGGTAGTTATTGATAGTAGATCATTGTCTCAAAGCCCTGCTTAAAATGTGACACAAACTTCCAGTACATCAGCTGGTTCTTTAGCAGAAGAGTCAAAACTTATGGATCTTTACTCATTCACCACATTCTTTTGACATTCACAACTTTGTGCATATGCCATTGTAAACACATTTTATCACAAGTATTACTGAATGTTTTCTTTTTGTTGTTGTTGCTTTCATTTGGAATCTAACTTATGACTTTTTGTCTGTTTAAGGGTGATATTATTAACGTTATACGCCAAGTTGATGAAAATTGGTGTGAGGGAAAACTTGGTGGAAAGCTTGGGATTTTCCCAATAACATTTGTAGAGGTGAGATTTGAAATGTCATTTGTCATAAATAAAGATGAAGTGAAGTCCAGTGAATTTTTCATAAGGAGTACTAAGACTCCTTGTCACTTCATGCAACACAAGTTAGGTAAGGCTCTGGTGGAATGACCCTTAAGGGGAATGTACTGATCCTTAAACCCCTTAGAGTGACTGGCTTCTAATTTCTCCTTACAGAATCACCCTTGAATCAAATGTAAAGGTCATGAGAATAAAGGAAATGATCACCAATTTAGGAAGCTCCTGATTGTCAAACAAATTCTCCTTGTCAGAACCAGAGGAAATGTAAAGAGAACAGTGTGGAGAATATCAATACCAATGTTAGGGTGTAAAAGGGTTAAATGAGAAGTCTATACTTTAACCAAGGGGCCCATCCAGCTGATATCCCCGTTTCTGTAGCATGAAGTGACAAGGAGTATTGTTACTCCCCCTGGATGGGATATTAGTAATTGCAGGTTAACTCCCCTCTGCCCCCTCCCCTGCATTTTCCTAGGGTTTCTTGACAGTTCGCTGGTTCCTACCCGAGAGCACAACACGTTGTCCTAGACCTCTCTACCCAGGGAGCAGCATCCTAATCTTAGGCCCAGTTCTTAAGGCAAACACTGAGTGTGTAAAGTTTTGCCTCGTGTCATCTTAAATAAGGTTGTTACAATTTTATGGTTATTTGTAAGATAAATACTTTAAAGAACTAATAGTTTGATGTATTTCACATGTTGTAAGCTTAATGTGGCAGCACGGAATCTGATAGAGGCAGCTGAAAACGCACCAGATCAGGCATCATCAGGAGGAAGGACATCACAAGTGGAGCCCAAGAGGCATACCATGCATTTTGTTGGACAGCGCAGTGAGGAAGGGCAATCAGTTGGTGTTCAAAGGCACTCCCTTGACATCTCATCTGCAGAAAGGCTGACAGAAGGACTGAACAGTTCATCGTCAACTGGATCAATCAGTTCACCTAACAGACAGGTAATGTGAGCATTGTTAATCGTTCTTCTCCCTCTCTGCTTACCCCCTGGTATTAAATTTTCCCATCCCCCCCCTCAAAAGCTTCCCCCATCCCCCTGCTTACAAACATCCCTTCACTCTGCTTTTAAAATTTTTAATCCCCCCTGCTTACAAGCTTCCCACTTTCCCTGCTTCTAAGCTTCTCCTCTCCCCCCTGGTTTAAAGTTTCTCTCTTCCCCCTTCTATAAGGTCCTTGGACATAAGCCCCCCTGCTTCGGTTGTTTGAAGAATTTGGTAATGTACCTAGAACTTACAAAACAAAGTAAAATTAATCTAACTAATTTTGATTAGGGATATTGATCAAAATTTCCTCCCTGATTATGCCGTAGAACGGCGAAAGCTCGGAGTGAATAAAGAAAGAACCACAGTAGCACTTAAAGGCTTCATTCAATTAATCCAACTAATTTTGATTAATTTTTACCTGGAATTCATTTTAAACTATAACATAACAGACTAATCCACAGTTAACAGTGTACGTCTTGAGGAGTTCGTAGTACATTCCCCTCTCCTACTTTCAGTTGCTTTTCAACAGATGATTTTTTTTTCAGAGCACATCAAGGTCATCTGGGAGTAGCCCTGATACATCTCAGTCACTCCATTCAAGGCAAGGGACAGCACCCTCCTCAGTCAGTCCGGGTCGTGCGGCCACAGGAAGGCAAGGTTCACCTATGGAATCAGGGGGGTCACGACCAGTGTCAGCTGAACTCGGAAGGGAATTGTAAGTACAGCCATAGTTGAAGGAGGTGACTGTTTAGGAAACGTCACATATTTGTTTGTTATAGTTTCTTTTGGTTTTTTGGACCTGATTGTGTAATGTTTAAGTTTTTCGACAAGTTTTCGTTTTGTGATTCTTGTCAATAGATACGTGGCTCTCTACACATACAAACCTACAAAAGACGACGAGCTTGAACTGGTGAAGAACGAAAATTACTGCGTGACCGACAAGTGCAAAGATGGATGGTTCAAAGGGTATTCAGTAACCACACAGAAACGAGGAGTATTTCCGGGAAATTATGTTCGACTGGCAAGGTGACTTATCTGTTTTTAATTAGTGGAGTATTACACTTGACTTTAGTTACTTTAGTTAATTTCACTGTCTCAACTCGATCACTGTTCCTCGGTTATTGGTTATTTGGTTCTGTTCTTAGGATGACGAGGAAAACAGTCGTACATTTAAAGTCAGGGTTTTTATAGTTTGTTTTTTTTTTTTTATCTTCGAATGCTGGGAAACATTCTTATCATTGCCAACGGTTGAATGACTGATACAGGTTTTTCTTTTCGTCTGCAGTATTCACAATTTACTAACAAGATCAAGAAGTAGTAGCACAGATCACGACAACTCTACAAACTCTGTTCCTTATACCCACGCCCAAGCTAAAACTCCGCCTCATCAAGGGCCGCCACCCCCTAGGCACACAGCATCCGAGGGAGGATCCCAGACGAGATTTCGTAGGTCAGATTCTGCCCCACCCCAGCCGGTTATGCCAATGGAGAGCCTTGTTGTAAACTTAAATCAAGGACGAAGTCTTGCAGATAACAGAAATCTCACTCAGGGACCCACCGAGAGGAGTCGATTTGTACCCACGGCACCACTTCCCCCGCCGCCCGCACCTAAATCGGTATGTTGGATTCAAAGTCGCTCCTGCGCCCTTTTGATTGTTTATGGTTATTTCTAACAGAATAAAGAAAATTTGATGTAGGGACGTCTGACGACTTGACTAGTTTTAAACCGTTGTTTGTCTCCAAGTGGAAAGTTGATGCATTTTGTGACTATCTGTTTCCCTTTTGCTTTCCAGAGTAGTTTTTGGAAAAAGCTGACAGGCAAGAAGAAGGAGAGAACAAGACTAAATCGACCCCCACCTCCTCCTCCGCCATACCAAAGGTATTTTACTAAGACTTGTAACTGTTAGTTACTTCGCCTGTACAAGGCTGTTGGAACGTTCTTGTTAGGATGTGGGCAAACGAAAACCAACACAATAACTGAAGCTAATCAGAGCAAAATCAACGTCATAGGAGTCCAGTAAACTCAAAGAACATGTCTGTGAGTAACCAAAAGCGAGGGAAAACTCGAGTTTCGAAGTCGCGGTTGATTTTGTTTGGTTGAGAGAGGATGGTGCGAATTTTCTTTTTTGGACCAATCATGGAGCGGAGCGAAAATAGTGCGAATCCGGACTTCTCTCTCGACACTCAATGGAAAATTTCTCTGAACTTACAATTGTTTGGTCTTTTTCAGGAATGTTCCTGCCGGACATAGTGCATTATCTCCGCCTCCTTATGACTTTGGAGGACTTACGACAGCTCCATCTTGCTCGCAGGTTAATAATCATTGTGTTTGTGTTAAACAGGCCCGATCCCAATTAAATCCTTTTTCCGATAGAGAAGTACCCTATTTCATTTTCTCATTTCAATTTTTTTCATTCTTATCTTTGTGCCCAGCGTCCGAGAGATAGAGTTGAAAACCCGCCTGTTCGTGAAAGGTAAGGACTGGGACTGAATCGTCTTCAAACTTTTTGACAGTGCTAGGTAATAGCCTACATAATTATTCAGGAGCGCCAGAAATTCTTCTTAGTTGCTGTTATGATTGCGAGTGGTCATTCCGTATATTGGCCAAATATGTTATTTACTGGGTGGGAAAAACTGTGCCCGAGGGCCTCACACAAGACCAAGGGAACATTCAGTTTTGTCTCTTACGAACCGACCTAAACAGGTAAATACCTAGTTTATTTTTCTGCTGGTGTGCTTTTTTCCGATTTGCCGAAAGTGGCACGGAAAACATTTGGGACCTTGGTTCGTATTGTCAAAGGTTGGACTGTGCACGAGCGCACCATTTGCCAACTAGATTCGAGGACTAAAGATTCCGTCCCGCTGAAATACTTCAAATAAAATTTAAAATGTTTCTTTCTGATTCGTCCACAGATACCGTGTTATTGTAGCTTATCCACCTCAACACGAAGCTGAGCTGGAGTTACGGGTTGGAGACGTTGTGTACGTGACGAAGAAACGTCAAGATGGCTGGTACAAAGGAACTCTGGAACGAAATGGGAAAACTGGCCTGTTTCCTGGCAGTTTTGTCGACAGCTTTTGACATGAAACTGCGTGAATTTTGTAGAAATATCCAAAAAATTATTTATCAGCATCTTCACTCGGGTTCGGTCAAAACAAGAAATAGAAGTGAGTAGACACCACTTGTGGAATTGACTGCGTCGACAAAACGGCGCGAAATGAATTCAAAGAGATTTCTGGCATGCTGGTTGAGTTTTTGTTTCTGAATATAAAGATGTTAGAGTTTTGTACTTTGTATCCATGAAACATTTAGTTAACACCTTTTTTTAAACGATTTGTTGTTTCATGTAAGAACTAGAATAGGAATCTTTTTCCGCCTACAAATCCATTGATGCTTTTGTACACAGTTTAGACAAATATAGTTCGTTCGCTGTAAAGCAAAGCTAAAAACAAATTGTATTGTGTATTATGTAAAAAGGTGCTAGTATGCTGCTCAAATTGACAAATCATTTTTAAATTCAATGAAAGCAAAGGTTTCAATAATAAGAATTTTACAAAAATACAGGTGTATATTACACTTTTCTATGTGTGGGTGTTATGTTTTAACACGAAAAATTGACTTGAGTTTGAAATAAAACAAAGTTAATTGTAAGTGTTTTGGATTGAGTTTGGGCTACGCTTCCTCTCGTCGCCGACATGGTAATCTTAAAGGTGGTGTTTGAGTGAGGCCTGGGTCAAGAAAAAAATCCTCTGCCCACTCTTACCCTCTCCCCCCTCCCTGCTCCCCCTTCTCTCACCCTGACGTGACCAAATCTGCCCCAGAAAATGAAAACTCGAATCTTTAGATTTACAAATTTACAATTTAATGGTTTCATTCTTAAATAAACCGCATGGTTCGTTTGAAGGCGAGTTTTGATCGCCTTTATCAAAGAGCACGTTTGAGGAAACTTTCTTACAGGCAATCAGTTTGGCTTTTCAGTTATATTATTTCTGTTGCATGGGAATTTTTTTCAGTGCGTATTTATGTCCTAGTACATTGGTATAAATCTGCGAAAATGGTGAAAGAAGGATAGTCGCTTTAGACGGCGCACTCCCATATCAGTTGGTAAATACATATATTTTTTACTTACATTGTCACCTGTATTGAGCAAATACAATTTTAGGTTACTCATTGCGAAGCATACCGCATCGACTGAGCGACAAGCGTAACAACCAATACGTCTTCTGTATTGCCTTTTCCATTTTCTTAATACGTGTACTGACAGATTGATCTCTCTTTAATCACCCCATTCTTATTAGGCATTGGAGGAAGATAAAAGTTCTGAACTCCAAAACACTTGCTTGTAAAGTAAATATTTAAGTTATTCTGTTAGCATATTTTAATATTTTTCATTTCGGTTTTGTCTGACACCTTGCTTTGCGATTCATCGATCGTCTGTTTCAAAGATCTTCCCACTGAGACGAAACGACAGCTTTCCTTTTCCGAAAAAGAAATATTGTCTGGAGAAGTTTCATTTTCACAGCTTGCGTTGATTTATCATGACTCGATGGCAAATTATTAATTCCGCAGTGTAAGGGGAATAACGTTAATTATAGATATATTCTGTCAAATGAAAGAAAAATGCATTGCTGAGTGATAACCGCGGCGGTTAAAAGGTGAAAGTATCCGAAGGAAACGAATTCCAATTTTCAAACTGGTTTGACTTGTTCCGTTCGCTCGGCGACATTTCCGCTTTATTTTCCCGGAAGCTTGCAAAGACCAAACTGTATTGAAGATCAGGAAATTTCGGCTTAGCTTCTCTCGGTGTAGCTTACATTTGAGTTAATTTAAACATGACAAATTGTTCAACAAGAGGCCATATATTAATGGTACGACGCCAAAGTTGTATTCCGAGTTACTTTTCCGTTTATGAATCTCAATTACCGATGGACAATGAATATTCTGATTCTAAATTGGAGGCAGCTGAACCTGAGAAGCGAAACTCGAGGTTTTATCTCTTGTACTCGCGAAGTTCTGCATGTGAAACCGAGTACCTTACCTTTCCGCCGAGAGCTGCCAATGACAATGCTATGGACTCAGCGACTCACACCACCAGATTACTAAGCTCAGCACCGGCTAAGAGATTTTCGTGCAATGTTAGTAAAATGGCGTATCCTATGAGAAATCGAATGGTTTGCGATGGTTATTTTGGATGCCCAGACGATTATATCACTCCGGATAAAGGAAACAGTGAGATATTTTTTGATTTTTTTCTGTGTACGTAAATGAAGTTGAAGGATTTCAATATGATATACAGTGATTGAGCTATGTGCGAAAAAAAAGTATATGAAAGTGATGTTTTTGCGCTTTGTCAAAATTGCTGTTATCATATATTATTCATTTCCGATTGTCTGAAAATCTTCTCACATGAGAAATTGTTGAATTGATGAGCAATGCTATCAAGGATGATGAAAAAGATTTGGCTGTATATACTTCGCGTTTGAGTCGAGGTTAAAAGAGATATGGGTTGTTTATTGCCAAACAACACGGGAAACGCCGGAATAATTTTTTGTCTTCATCCTTGATATCGATCCTGCTGTTTTAAGTTCAAATCAAAACAAAACCGCCTTGAATTCACGCCGAGAAAGACTGCTTAGCTCGAAGTTAACCACTTAAACACATGGTTGTCATCGAGTTTACATTTCATTCAGGAGAGCTACTTATGAATTGAGATGGCATCTTTAACTGCAGAGGTTTAAGTAGATTTCTAGTGCCATATCTTGGTAAACTTTTGTTTTATGGTGGTTTTTTTTTTTCCTGCATTAGTGGTAGCCTTGAAGCATCGTAGGTGGCGGCGGTCTCCTGGTACAATGATCAATCATAACCTCAAACAAAGAGCAATTTTATCCGCAAGCGAACCGACTCCCTTGCATTTCCCCTCCACTATATCTACACAATTAACAATTTATCAGAAAATACAGCTGCGCTGCTTTTCAAGAATCATGCTCACTCTAAAGAGGCTATTTTCGCCTTTTTGTTTCTTTATTTTTTTCATTCATTTATTCCCACTTATTTACTTGTTCGTTTATTGACCTGCTTATCTATTAGTTCATACAGGTTCATCATTAAAAAGAAGAAAGCCAGTTTGCATCTTGCCATGGAAGAAACGGCAACGAAGATGCCCGAAAATCAAGAAAAAAACAAAAGGCAAAAACGCCAAACATGAAACCAAGTCGCCAAAAGTGGATTGTGTTATTTCATCATTGGAACGTACAATAGTGTCAGGTATCAGGGCAAGGGTGCACGCGGCTAAACATTCACAGGGAACTGGAACCAAGTCCCATCCTGCCCTGTTCTATAGTCACTTCATAGGCAAGGGGAGCTCGATTCCAAGTCGCAAAATTTGCGCGCCAAAAAAAGACCCTCCGTGTGACGGTTATTTCGGTTGCCACGGCGACGGAAGCATGAGAGGAAAGGCTAAAGGTGAGACACAATGTTTTTGTTGGGTCTTGTTACTTATGTGAACAAGTTAATCTTGTATTGAGGAAGAGAAGCTTTTGTAATTGTTATTTAGTTCTTTTGTGATCCATTTGGTTAACATGATTTCCATTTTTTGTGTCCGAACAGGAAAAAGGAAACCTATTCCCAGGTTCTAAATTGATTTGAGTGTGCAGACACACTGGCCAGCGTTTATGATACGCAATGGCAGTAATTTAGTTTATCCGTGGTTGAAGAGTGGAGATTGGATGGATTCCTGATGAATGTGATTTTTACTTGAAACAATTAATTATAAATGGGCTTTTATTGTCTCTTGAACTCTTACGGAGTTCGCGATAAGATCTGAATTAAAATAATAAATTCTCTAATACAAATAAAATCTGAATCTAACAAAAATAAATCCAATAAAAATGGAAATAAAACTTCTTACATCGGGTGTCATTTCTGCTATAACCAACTGAACAAAATAATGAAATACCAAAAAACGGTTTTGACGAAGAATCAAGACACTTTAATTATACTCATGATGATTTAAAGATGTAAATGAAACTTCATCATACAATCTGTTTTCAAAATACGTTCAAATAGAAATAAATAATTTCAAAAATCTCAACATTTAGTCATAGACAGTTTAGCTTCGGTCGTACGTCCATTAGTCATTACCATGAGATAATAGGAAAACAACGGTGGTCCTTTCTTTCTTCAAGCTACAGTAGTGAAAAGTTTAAACCTAAATGGAAGTCTTTCGCCCTCGTATTCATTCTTAGAGATTAGTGGATCTCTTATTTACTATCAGAACGGAGTTTATCAAGCTTTTTTCTTGAGTAAAACGTTGATGACCAAATTATTTTTTGTCAGCATGACACAAACTAAGATTCTCTGATTCAATGACGAACAATGACTCTTTTCTTTATCGTATACCCTCAAGAAACGCGAAATGCCGTTATAATCTAAAAATGCTCCTTAAGGAGAAAGTTTCCTACAAAGGCTATAACAGGGCCTAACAATGTGAACCACAAAGACTTCAGTTGTGTCATTTGAAGGCCAGCCACTCTGAATCCTACATTTCCATACTTTTGGTGTTTCTCTAAAAGGCTGGCAAACAGTGTTAGCTTTTCTTCTGAACTGAACGTAAATCCTCTTTGGCATTGTTCATCACAGTCCAGTGTAGCGACGATGAAAATCAAGCGATTAAGCTTTGAACTGACTTGGCCTAATTTGTAAAATGGAAGAGAAAAGAGGAGTATTGTTTCACAAACGAACACCACAAATGTTCCCAAACTCTCAGAAAGATTTATTCCAAACAAGAAACTATTCGATGAAGGAACATGTCTAAACATTTCCACGCTGGAATAAACACTGATTGTTCCCCACAACACTAACAGTAACAGAAGTGCTATGATGTACACTTGAAAAGCCTGCGAGGAATTTTGGATTCTCTTTGTCAATGCTTTGTATTTCTTCAGGAGCTCTGTAATGTTCCTGTTAGTCTGTTGTATCTGTGTGCTAAAGTTTTCCAGTTCCAAAATGTGAATCTGAACTACAAGAATCAGGAAGAAGAATATCGGCATAGCCATGACTCGACTGTAAAGAAGGACGAAAAATTCCACAATTTCGACATTCATGTCCCAATTTCGAGGAATTCCATTTGCTTGTTCTACGAAAATTGGAATTAACTTTTGAACTAAAGGCAGTAAAAGAAGGAAAAACGCTGTAACTGCCATAAGATCCTGGATTAACTGCTGCGATTTTTGCCATTGATTCTCGGAAATGCCATTGCTGTTGTTTAAGATGTCACTGATGTGTCCTCGGTGGGCATGGAAAAAACATAATCCAACGTTATGAAGGATTACATAACGTAGTGTCCACAACAAGCGATGCATAACTGCTACGCTTGCAGCAATCGTATTTGTATTCGCTAACAGCGCCGGTAAACCGTTCATAAGATTATATATTTCAAATCCCATCACTGCCCATAGGCTCAAAACAACACCTGCTTGCATGATTTTATAAAACACCGCAGGAATTTTACGAGAACGACGTCCGGTTTCATTCGGTTCGATCCATTGAAATGTAAAGCACATGTAAGTGTACAAGAAGCATCCATGAAGGCTCAATTCAAATTGATCGTCATCGCTGTAATCTGTTCCTAAAGAACATAAATCTTCAATGGTTCCATGCTTTTCTACTGTTTGCGTTTTATTACCAGAATTGCTCCTTTCATTAAGTGGTTCGCCGTAATCGAGGATTCCTTTATTTTTACTTATTGTTTCTCTGCCTTCAGTTCGTGGATCAGTTATAAAAATCATTATCCTTGACCCTGATGTTTTGGTGTTTGTGTCTCTCGCATTTTCGAGCACGTTAGTATCCTGAAGCATAGTTCCAAGATCAATTAACTGAGTGTTTGCTGGCAAGCGAAGAGGATAAAGATGGTCGCCATAAGATACATAACATGTGATATCGCTCACACTTCCGCTGGCTGAACACGCCATACTTTTCGGCGATCGATAAAGCAAGGGAATATTCAGTTAGTCATTCATAAATATTTGAACTTCGTTTCGACGTAGATCTGTAAATCTGTTAGCATGGCATTGTTGATTTTTTTCTTCCCTCCTTGCACATACATAGGAACAGCGTTGTCTAGCATTTTTGACAATTTTGAATAAATTTCCTCGATCATGAAAGATCTGTCATGGCATAAATTATCTAAATTCCTACTTCTTAGAAAAACCGCCGAGAAATTCCACAGCTATTTCTCATTCATGAGCATACTCGACAAATAACTCTTCCTGGAAAGTGCTTTTAAATCATTTGATTTTACCATTACTTTCAAGAAAAAGGAAAGAAAACAAAAACCATAAGCACACTTGTGAAGTACTCTCTTCTGCATTTGTCATTTGTCATCATGCATGATCATGCATGATCATTGTAAACTTATGTTTATTAAATAACAAAGAGTTCAATTCTAATTGCGGCTGTTCAAAGTTGGGTCAATTTTACTTATGTTGTCTTTAAAAAATGTAATTAATTTCTCAGAACTAAGATGCAATGTTTAAGCACAGGAAAAAAATGTTTATTTTACCAATCAAAAGACATTCGTTGTCTAAGACTTAGAAAATTGTATTTGTTTTTTCCGGCTAAATTTTAATAAGTTGTTATGCCATAAGACTTTTTCCGCTTGTCTTTATTTCGCGTTTTGTATTTGAAGGATATAAACAAAGGGCGACAAATACCTCAGATCTCAACGAATATGGCTAAGTTTGTTGCGCGTGCTTCCATGAATTAATAGCTATCGGCGTGGATTTTCTCGGACCTAAAAATCAAAATACAAAAGGATACCAAGAATCATTTAATTACAGTCATTTCTTAAAAACTGCGGGTAATCTGACTTTCGTCAAGCATTTTCATGCAAATTACAGGCAGTTGTCTTTTAAATTTTGTGTATTCAACTTCGTCTTAAAGTTGACATTTGAGTTTGTCATAGAGAATATCAATAACGAGGCTTGGTATCAAAGAGTATTGAAATAGTTTCTATTCATGGTCATCTGCCATTCTTAATGTGTCAATTTAGGACCGGAAGTCTGAAAACTGAATGATTTAGATGACTGCTTGTGCTTTCGTTCTATGAATAGGCTCTCATTAATTACAGGAGATCCATCGTCACGAAATCCATCCTATCTGTAATTCAGAATAATCTTAAAGAGCTTTTTGAAAAATTTACGTTCGTCAACTTACTGGCACACAAAATATTGAGTACACAGCGTATTTTACAGTAGCTCTACGCATATTGAAAAACGAATATTAATGTGAATAATCATTGCTTTCCGAGAAAAGAAAATGATTCCCAGAGATTAAACAATGCCCACAACAACATGCAAACGTTGCTATTTTGGATTTCGAGAAATTACTCACCTGGAAGCTAACATAAGCCGCAAATATGCGAGGAAGCTTTCTCGGAGTTTCAACATGCAAAGATTTAAGGAATCTTTATCACGGCTATTTTTGCAATAGCCTAGAATAGGATAGAATTAAAGCAAGGAAACTGCATAATATTTGGTAATGTAGTCGCAATTTTTTCCTGCTTACCTCGCGCATGCTCTTCGTTGCGCCTGATCGGTGTTTTATAATAGGAACCTCTCACTAACTCTGCCCAGTCGGGCTGTGGATTCGTTCATAAGCGCACCAGCGAGGGCTACAATCTGTACTGCACCACTATGTTTCCTAAATTATTTTCTGTCTTGTGCTTGGTTACATGCATCACGAGAACGAGGCAAAATGTTATCAACCCATCAAATCTCAACGAATATGGGTAAGTTGACGGACATTTATAACATAGTGTGGCGTCTGCCTGAATATTCAGTATTTTTATTTTATTGCGTTTGCAAACCATTCCGTTTCTTCAGCGCTCATTTCTTGCAAGTTAAGTTTTGGAATCTTGGAAGGGTGATAGGAAGGCAGATAGACACAGACTTGGAATTTAGTAAGCCGTGGTGGAAGTTTGGAACGAATTTAATGAAACTTCCGGCCTTCGCATTTCGCACGGCTCTTTAAACAAAGAATTTTCGTATACAGGAGATGAAAAAGAAGAAACAAAATATAAGAGCAAAAAGCAAATGTTGTCGAGGTCTAAAGCGCAAATAGGATCTTAACAGAAAACAAAAATGTTCACAAGCTTTCAGACAAAAATTATGGAGCGAAGATACAAATAACAAGCTACACAACGTTCGCTTTAAATGAATTTAAACAAGGGATTTTTCCCTTATTAATTATGCAAAGATGTTTCGATAGTAAAGTTCTATTTACTTCAGCCGTGAGCTCATAGTGAAACTTGAATAATATCACATCTTTTCCATTTTCGTTTCAAGGTAGATATGGTTGAGAATACTTTATACGTTATAAGGCCAATTCCGCTAAAGAGGCGAGTAAAACTAGCACGAGGCAAGACGAGGCAATTGCCTCGTCTTGATTTCAGTCCAAGATTGACTTTTCTGAAGAAAAATGCTACGTGAAATGGTTAAAGGAGCATTTCTGATCCTCAACATTTCAAAATTTTCTTAGGGAGCATGCCCCCAGATCCCTATAGCGGCTCGCGCCTTCAGTGCTCGGAACTTGCCTCGTCTTGTTCCGAAGTCTGGCTACGGCCCTGTAGGGGCTGTTTAAGCTCGACTTTAATAGAGCACGGACAGATACATTGAGTGCACCTTATTCGGAAGACATATTTTGGTTTCAGATTATATCCGAGGGATTCTCAGAAAGTGAACACCACATTCTGAGAACTGTATTCCGGAATTAGCTTACAGGTAGCCGTCAAATAAAACCTCGAGCAAACAAAAAGAGCAGAATGTTTTCATGGCATGAAATGGAAATCGAATACTCTTTGAAGAAGGATCAGCTTTTTGATACCCGTGACCTAAAAATTTACAACTTAATGTTCACACAAAACTTCAAGACTTTCGGAATTTTTTTTTTTCAGACATAGACTTTTCGGAATTTTAATGAGCTTTTGCTCCGTAACTAGCTTGACTTTAGAAAGCTTTAGGGAGACTGTTTTAAGAAAAGTTCTTGGGGCTTGAAAATAGCTTGAACATCATGAAAAACTTGGCATCCACTTGATGTCTGTAAAAAATGTTATATATGGATTAATTTAGAATGGCTTTGTCTATTGTGGAGGGCACAGAGTGTTTGTGTCGACTTCAAACTCGTCTTACTTAATTAAAGAGCACCCAAGCATTTCTCTTTCACGAAATCATCTAGAAACTTCTCAACTTTCTGGTTTTCCCAATTGATTTCTTTCTAATGGCAACTGAGCTGAATAGATCCTTACGTTCACAATATTTGTCTTTTCAAATCGACTTTCGCTTTCATTGAGCTTCAAAATGTACTCCCTTGGACAGTTTGGACAATGCTTACTTTTTTTCTTTTGTTATTAACATCCGCTGTCGATTTCGCACGAGAATGCGTTATTTAGTGGCTTCACACTCATCGCCGTTAAGACGCAGCACCCTTTTTCTTTCTCAGTTCTTTTAAATCTGAGATTCGGAATTTCAATACAGTTTTGAAACCAAGAGAAGATAATGGGACAGAAAGGGAAACTGGTAGAATCAAGAGGTAGACCGGAATATGTAGATTTCATCCAAGTTATTTTTAGCTTTTTGCAGAAAGAATTGTGGTTTCCTAGTGAAGTTTCTTTTTGCCGATGTTAGTTTGATATTAAAAGAACCAATCTCCTCGACGTTCTCCAGCTCCTTAACCACACTCACATGCAACCAAAATTCACTCAAAGAGGACGGACGCGTTTCACTCTCCGTGACCAAAAGGCCATATGCCAATCGAAAATCGATGCATGACGTGTTTAAACAGACAACTGCATAACAAGCGCCTGATTTAACGAGAAGTGACGCTCGCCTCGCAGCAGATGGAAGTGTTGTGTTACAGCGGGTTTATTTTATGAAGGTTTGTACAAGGAAAAATGGATTTGCAACCATCAATAGTTTTTTTTACAAGTCAACTCACTCATGAGGTGAATAAAGGGGGTAAGTTTCCAAAGAAAACTGTGGTACTGCGTCGGTTGGAGAGTATAGCAAGTAATTTAGTGTTAACAACTAAATTGAAAACGTAAATTGGCCACACTCATGAGGTGGTTCGGCGAAGACAGTACCAGCCCATTATTTTCTTGATGAAACGCATTCAGGATAATAATAGCTCCGTGAGGTGCGGTCCCGGATATGAAGAGCGTCCAGTCAGAACAAACCATCGCCAACAATCGGCACCTTAGAGAATACCTGAAACAATCAAAGACAGAACCTGCTTATGCAACTGCGTAGACTTTCTGCGCGTTTGAGTTATTCAGTCACGCTTGATTTCACCCTGAAGAAAAACTACTTGCTTTCGGTGTTTCACCTTTAGTTAATGGCAGGATTTGTCGTTTCTAAATTAGATGTTTGTAATGCATCTTCCAACACAGCGGTCATGGGCACATCAAATTTGGCTAGCAGCTCTATTTTAATGGCTTTGTTATTTTCAAATTATGCTATAGACAACACCACCTCTAGGCGATTTCAAAGTGCGCACATGTGCAAACATGTGACTGTCTTGTCATATCTTGCAGGCAAAACGTTTGTTTCAGGTATACAGTGCAGACAGAGGCTTACTACACTGTTACATCAAGGACAACATACACACACACCACAACCAGTTGCGGATGGTTTGGTTGGGGCAGATGTGACACAAGCAGGTCAGTAGATATATTTCAAAAGAAAAAACATACTGCTGAAACTAAACAGCTTTTATCTCCGTCAGAAAGGACATATCAAATGATGACTATAATTCCGTTTTAAGATTCCACATAGTAACCCAACCTTTCGAAAATTTGCATAGAAATGTGCAGACGGTGTCATTTTGAGAGTAACCTAGCCATGGTCTCGTACTTAGACCTTCCCCGGCCATGCAGTGGTAAAGTCCCTACATTTTGTTAATCACGGTAGGATCTGAGTACGAGATTGATATAGCCTCTTACCTGCAATGTAATAGTCCCCTTTTTCATCTAACCACTTTGCCTCCCGCCAGCTTAGATTTGTATCAATTCCTATGAATCCATGTGTTTAAGTATTACCCAATTTTACGGTTTTTACAA